GACCTTTCCAGATACGGTGTGTACATTGTTTTTCACAATCTGAAAAGTAGAGTGTGAGAGAATATTCCTCATCTGCATTTTCCGTCAGGGCCAGAAGACAGATTTAATTAAAATTCAAGTATACAAGCAATCAGCCAGTTCCTACTAAATAAAAACTTGATGCTAGGCTCTAGGTGCTTCACAAACATGAGTATGACTGGTTCCTCTTAGCAAGAATGTACCTGTCTTTGGAGCAATTCCAAATTGTAAACAATTCGAAATATCAGAACAAAATGAGTACTGAAATACAGTTAAAAGCAATACATCATGAAAAAATAAAGCAAGAAATAATGCTTCACAGTGTCAGAAGGGAAAAGAATACTTCTGGATCCAGTGGCATTTAATTTGACAGTCAGTATCCAACAGCAAAGATGGCTGGAAAGTGTACGCCACTGAGGTAGTTATGCCACCTTTACTTTAACAAGATCTCTGCTCAAATGTCACCTTCTCGGAGCACATGTTACTCTCATCTCCCATGCCATTATAGTTACCCTGTTAGCAAATCTTGCCATTTTGCACACAGTTATCTTTTTTTGATAAAATTATAATAGATAATAACTGATTCCGGTGACTCAGTATCTTTTAGAGAGTTAGGAAGATGATGAGATAATCCTAAAAACAAAAAGTTTAATTAATTTAAAATAGAAATTTATTTAAAAAATAGAGACAGAAGACTGACTTAATCACATGGAAACTAGTTACAATTTTAGAGAATTAAGACCAAAGGTTAAGTTTTGCAGGGACATGGATGAAGCTGGAATCCATTATTCTCAGCAAAGTAAGAGGAACAGAAAACCAAATACTGCATGTTCTTATTCATAAGTGGGAATTGAGTAATCAGTAGTCATATCAAGGAGAACACATAGACATGGGGTAGGGGGATATCACACACAGGGGCCTCTTGGGGGTTGTGGGGCAAGAGGAGGGAGAATATTAGAACAAATACCTAATGCACATGTGGCTTAAAACATAGATGACGGGTTGATAGATGGAGCAAACCACCACTGCACGTGTACCTATGTAACAAACCTGCACATTCTGCACATGTATCCCAAAACTTAAAGCAAAATTTTAAAAAAAGGAACAGCCAGGTGCAGTGGCTCATGCTTGTAATCCCAGCACTTTGAGAGGCCAGGGTGGATTGCTGGAGCCCAGGAGTTCAAGACCCACCTGGGCAAATAGGAAGACCCCATCTCTGCAAAAATTTTTAAAAAATTAGCCAAGTGTGGTGGTGCAGGCCTGTAGTCTCAGCTACTTGGGAGGCTGAGGCGGGAGGATTGCTTAAGTCCAGATGGTTGAGACTGCAGTTAGCCATGTTTATGCCACTGTACTCCAGCCTGGACAATAGAGCAAGGCCCTGTCTCAAAAAATAAAAAAAAAAAAAAAGAACAGCCAGGCGCGGTGGCGCATGCCTGTAATCCCAGCACTTTGGGAGGCCAAGGCGGGTGGATCACAAGGTCAGGAGTTTGAGACCAGCCTGGCCAAAATGTTGAAACCCCATCTCTACTAAAAATACAAAAATTAGTTGGGCGTGGTGGCACGTGTCCGTAATCCCAGCTACTCAGGAGGCTGAGGCAGGAGAATCATTTGAACCTGGGAGGCGGAGGTTGCAGTGAGCCAAGATCATGCCACTGCACACCAGCCTGAGTGATGAGGAAAAAAACAGTTAAAAGGAGTTTTAATATCCTTTTGCTATTTTTTACTAAAACAGCATACATATTTACTGATTTGGCAAGATGTTTTTTATAATTTCTCAACTAACAGGGATAGGTAAAGTGGACGCTTTGTAGGACGTCTTCATATTCTGAAGATGACAAGCTGACTCACCTAAACCAGGAAATGATCTAAGAAAAAATGTAAATAATTGTTTTTTTTAAAAAAATAAAACCCAGAAACTTAAAATGCAATGAATATTTACTAAACAAACTAGAAATCTCCAAAAAGTCAGAAAATTAAAATCTATTATCTTACCACTAAAATTACTTTCCTATGTGATTAAATCATTTTTGAAAAAATGCTTTTAAAATATATAACACTCTATGATACTTAACTATTTCTGAAGTATTGAATCATTTCCTGAGATCAGAATTTTGCCATTATAAAAGTACTTCAAGGAACATGCTTATTCAAAAATATTTTTTCAATATGCAAGTTACTTTTTAAGGAAAAAGTGAGTTACACAATAAGTAGGGTAATCATTTTTTTTTTTTTTTTTTTTTTTTTTTTTAGAGATCCAGCACACAAGTTGCTTAACATTTGGAACTTTTTTTTTTTTTAATTGCATTTTAGGTTTTGGGGTACATGTGAAGAACATGCAAGATTGTTGCATAGGGTAGTCATATCATCATATCCAGACGAGAGTGTAGCGTTTGTGTTTTTTTTTTTGAGACAGGGTTTTGCTCTGTCACCAGTCACCAGCTGGAGTGCAGTAGTCCAATCTCGGCTCACTGCAATCTCTGCCTCCCGGGTTCAAGCAATTCTCCTGCCTCAGCCCCAAGTAGCTGGGACTACAGGCGCGTGCCACCACGCCCAGCTAATTTTTGTATTTTTTACTAGAGACGGGGTTTCACCATGTTGGCTAGGATGGTCTCGATCTCTCGAACTCATGATCCGCCCACCCTGGCCTCCCAAAGTGCTGGGATTACAGGCGTGAGCCACTGCGCCCGGCCGAGAGTGTAGTTTTTATTTAATTTTATTCTAAATTATTTTGCGGTATAAAGAGGTTGGAACTAGTGAGGAAGGAGGGAAATACTAGATCAGTGTCTGTTCATATGGAGTTACATATTCTACATATTATGTTTTAGTCATTACACTGAGGTTCTTGCCATTGATCCTTGCATCTCAGAGCCTAGCATCATGTACAGTATACAACTAGATTCTAATGTTTATTGAGATAGTACTAATTTAAGCATTCAAAATAAACCTGATAAAATACCTTATAGAAATATACTAGTGCCACTCAAATGTTACTAGTATTATTTTGTAAATATAATAAAAATATTTAAAATATATTATTTAATGGTACCATTTTCATGATGAGGCATTCATTCTATTATTTGATCTTGAACACAGTTAAAGTATTTAAAGGGGGATTCAAAGAGTTAAGCTTAGATATGCCTAAATACTTACTTTCAAATTGGGCCTAAATGGGCTGTTGTCTGTGACTACATCAAATTGGAATAAGAACTACACAAAAATTTTTTTCCGAGTTAGTAAAAACGTACTTGATTCTGTTTTTGAAATACTACAAATGAAACCTCAGCAGGACCTGTTGTGGTGGTAAATTACAAAATAGTTTCATTGCTAAACAGGAACGACAGAATTACAGATAATACAAATGAATAGAGATAGTGTGTACCTGGCTATTTTGAAAGGGATGTGTAATCCAAGGACTAGGATAAAAAGCTGAAGAATAAGCGATTTTTAAAATGGATAAAATAGCAAACATAGTTAACATGTATCAATTAAATGCTATACACCAAGCACCTTTCTAAGCTCTTTATATGTATTACCCCAGTACTTTCTTCCATAGTCATTAAATCAGAATTCCTGCAGATAGGAACCAATTATGTGGAGGATCTTTTAAAAGTACTGACACTTTTCTTGAGCCCTTCGTCAACCACTGCAATGTCTCCCCACTGCTTTAATGGCTAGTTCTTGTATGAAAGCAGCTGTATGCCTCAGTAAAATGATAGATTGCTACATCACTGACCTTTAGTGTCATTCCAAAGTTTAAATTCCATGAGTACCCAGGGTCTATGATGAAGTAATGGCTCTAGCAAATGACTTTGTTCTCCAAATGAAAAATCAATGACTTCTAACACAGGGTCTCATTCTGTGAGCTGAGGACCCCTAGTGGGCTTTGTAATAATAACTCCTTCTGAAATAATTTTTCAGATGCATGTATATGCTGTTGTGATTAACAAAATACAGTTTCATTTAAAGTACTGTGAAAGTTACAAGGGCTTTGGTTACTGTATTTTTTTCCCAATGAAAATATTTCCAAAATATTATCACTAACTGGAAAGAACCAGATGCCTTGATATTACTCAAAACGGGCTGTGAACTCCTGCTTTAGATAATCACCTCCAGGCATCACCTTCTCTTTTTGACAAGTGTCACCCAGAACAGTTGGACCTACTGAAAATAACAGAATTGTCCTTTAGAACTCAACCAGTAACAGAAGTGTATTGATTATGAATAATGCACTTATTTTTATCACAATACATTTTAGGATAAAAGGCATCAACCTACAAATGAGCATTTGCAACCCTTGACCAAATACCAAATGGCAGTCAGCATAACGTAGTACTAAATGACAAAATGTGCATGTTTTTCACATTGAAACTTTGGCATTCACTGGCTGGCTGTAGAAACTCCAAAGCTTATATTTGATGCAAAGTCCCATTTCAAATTTTTAATCCACTGTCAAGAAATTCACATACACACACACCTCAGGAGTAGTATCATGGCCTGGCTCATAGGTCATATGCATAAATTCTTTTGTCCCTCTAAATGCAGTGCCATCATCTCTCTTGGATTGCCTGATTTCCAGTGCTAGTCAACTGATACAGCAGTCAGGCAAATAGCAATTCTTTAATAGAAAGTCTGTGATCTATATTGATAATTTTTTTTCTTAGCATTTTTCAGCCCGACACCTACAACGATTTCAATCAGCACTTGAAGTGTCAGACAGGGGAAGGCAAGATTTTCAGAAAACATTGGGTACAGGATGGCAATATATCCTGATGTAGATTCTCCCTCTCAGTATATCAAAGGATAATTAGTGAGAAAGACAACAAATGCCTTACTTGCAGTTGCAATCAGTTAAAACCAGATAACAAATTTATACATCAATATGTTTGTAAAGATACATATGCAAGAATACATGAAATATGCAAAAATAATTTAGTATTCAATCTCAGATACACAAATGTACTTAAGAAAGAGAAGTTTTATTAGGGCAATTTCACTTTATTTTTCCATACAGCAAAGTCAACTACTGCAGTAATAATAAAATAAGCATAAAACAAATTGCAGCCCAAGACAAAATACATAATTTTAAGCAACTACAAGCAGAAAGTAAGTTGTGATTACATAATAGTAAAACCAAGCACATTTGTCCTTTCAGCAGATGAAAGTGGTAGGGTTGCTGATAAGTGCAACATTATTAACCAGCTGGAGTGAAGGCTGGATACACTAATTCATTTAACAAGTGCCCATTATCATATTTTGCATTTTTGAGTGCTTCTGAGTTGGAAATTAAAACCGTGAAATTTGAACTGCGTTTTATTTTTCACCTGCTGAAAGAACAGGATCCTACAGCAATTAAAAAACAATCACATAACAACTATAGCTACAGTGTGCTGTTTGGTTTGCCTGTTTATGATTTAAATTTTGTGAAAGTCAATACTTGTTTTGAAGATTTTTTTTTTTTGTGAACAATAAACCACTGAAATTGGCAGAAACTGATCTGAATAATATATGTTCTTAGTATAGTTCTTCCTCTCTTTTTTTGTTGAAGTTTTAAACATGCAGTAGTTTTGAAAAATGTAAGGAATATCTGATCCATGATTTCACCTTAATGGTAGAAGTACCTGCTATTTTTGGTAATGATCTTCAGGCAGATTTGGCCCCATGGAGTTTTTGTCAGTCATGAGGGTTTGAAAGGACGGCGTATCTTTCCAGCTGAAAAAATCCTGGCAAACTACAAGCTGTCCACAAGAAAGCAAAGCAACATGTTTGAAGGGGTATGGAGTGCTAACTCTGTGCCACTTTTGCAAGCAATTTTGCTCAGTCTGTCATTGTATTAGCCTTAACAAAACTCCTTGTAATTATAGACGTTTTTATTCAAAATAAGATCTTACTATTATACAGGTTTCTCTCTTTTGACTATATACAGAAGTGCAAAAAGTCAACCTTCTCTCTAGACGTCCCAACATGCTAAATTGCAGCATAATCAACCCTCAAGAGTTTGCACACACGCTATAATTTTCATTACGTAAACTTTGAGTATTTGGATTATCAACAAAAAGTCCCTTGTTCTATTTATTGATTATGCAGCTTATTTATAACAAGGCCTGATATTCAGGGATTTCAAAAATATTAAACAATATTTTAACATTTGAAATGGATACAGTAGAAAATAAATTTTATTCTAATATCTAGGATCTAGATCTTCTTATAATAACTAATTACAAACAAAATAAATCATCAAAATATTACTCAATTGTCTGCCAGGATTGTTGCGATAGCAACAACTTAACTTCTTACTTAGCAATGATTATATATTTATAAGATATCCATATAAAAGATCTTTGTTCTTTTAATGAAAACTAGACAAGAACTAACAATGACTGACATTCTTACACTGTAATATTAAATCAGTAAAATATAAATCATTTAGTTAACAATACGAATATTCATGACACTACATGTAATTCAAAACTGAGTATGTTATGAAGGAAACACTACTTTTTTTGTATTTTGAAAAATTCATCCATAAAATCTAATAAAACAATAGTCTATAAACTGAAATGGTATTCAATTGTTAATAGAAAATGAAAATCTAATAAATGTAGGAAATGAAAAACTACATTTTAACAAGAAAAATAAGTAATATTCTATAATGTAACTAACTACAATAACATGTGAAGTCACCATTACTTTCTTAACACGATTGAAATTACATTGGTATGGGTTCCAACCCGTAATGTAATAATCTAAGGCTTTAATAGATGTACAGTACAATCAGTAAAATCAACACATCAGTCTTATATTAGAAAGCATCTCTCTCAAGCATAAAAACTTGCAGTAAACTTGGAAGTATGGAAAGTTCTATAACTGAACTTTCGCTTCTCCCATTCCATACTATAACTACCAGTGACCTGGCCCCTACTTCAGCAATTTTTAGAACTGCTGAACAGAGCAAAAATATCCTTTACTAGCTGCAACATCCAAACCTCAAAAAAAGGAATTCCTTTGGATGAATCCATTCTTAAAAACTGAATGCACATCTATTTTTTAAAAATTTTGTAAAGGCTTTCTAAGGCTATAAGCAGTTAATCTGAACAAAACAAAACAAAAAAAATCACATATAAAATTCACCCATGTACTTAACCCACCCAATTACTAGGTTAATTAAACATTTCCCATTTTCATATTTTGGTTTATCATGCATCTGATGACAGTGCTGCTTTCTTCTTTGTTTAGAGTCACTATTTTGAATGTGACTGTGATGAAGCATTTAAGCAAACGTGAAACCATTTCTGCAAAGCATTTATAGTCTTTTGACTTTTGACAGAGGCTATAAATAGAAGCAAAATAATTTCCTCAAACATTTTTTTTGTTATTGTGTCTCAGAAATGGCAATCCCTTTTGAATAACATGTTATACAGTATAGTATGCATAAATATTAACTACAATGCTTTAAAATAATTTTACATATATCTATTATATATATATCCAGTATGTGTGAGTTTATCTGTATTGAGAGAGTTTGTGTTGTGCTGTCTATTGTTACTGTAAAGTTAAATTGGCCATTTCTGAGACAGCTTTGGTTTCAAAACAAACAAACAAAAAGAATGGTGCCCTTTGACTGATTCGAACTAGCAAATATGCAACAAAATGTGGCTCTGAAAACAATAACACTGAAGAAATAATACTCTAATTTGATGTACAGTCTATGGCACTTCATGAGAATCCTTAACAACATGGTACTTAAAGCCATGATGTGCTTTAAAATATACACAGTTGTGGTTTTGCTTGGCACATTCATCTCTGTCAGATCCCTCCCTCACCACGTGTTACAATCTATTACATTAAAAATATTACTCTTAAACAAAAATGACTGTGCATGCACGCTCTCATCTATAATGGCAATTTTAAATACAAGGTGCACCTTTGTTATTTGTAAACCTTGAAAGAAAAAAACTTATTTTTTAAAAATTATATCTTGGTCTACAGACGTACCAATACATAATAGAATCATGGTTACACCATAGTCTGTCTTTTCAAGATGGCATGAATATATAGGAAACTAATTAGGTATGCATCTTTTAATGCATAACTCTGTGCTAGAAAAGAAAGACAATGTTGTTCTTTTAGACAGGAATATCACCTCAGCACAAATATCAATTAAATGTACAAAGTGTATAGGCAACAGTGTGCAGTGGATTTCCATGTTGTCTTTTCTTCTGGTTAACATGCAATATGTGGATGTCTTGTGGCTGAGGGACTTTTGTGTGTGTTGCTTGACGATATATACAATATGGCTAATGACCTCGTCCTTTACTCTAACCAAGCACACTGTCCTTTCCTCTTTAGCATGATCTACAAGGGAGAAAGAGATAATATTTGTTAAAAAAGATAATAACTAAAAGCAGTTTCTAAAAGCAGTTTCTAATACACACTTAACATGAAAATTTTCTTTCTGATTAACCAGTATATTCACAAGTTATTATATCTTCATATAAAAACAAAAACCATTTCACAAGTGCAGGCAGATCAAAATTTGTCTATCATCGCTATATGAATGGAATAACATGTACAGTCTAATAAAACTGTTGAATGTGCTCAAAAATTTACCAAACCTAAGCTCAAAGTATAAAATACTTTTGCAGAATCAAGGGGCATAATATATCAAGCTCTTTTTTAGCATCACTGTTCTAAGGCAAAATTTAAACTTCTTTTCTGAAGTTTAATAAGGTTTCAAGAGCAAAGGTCTGGTCTACAAAATGAAAATTCATGTAATACATTCTATTAAACAAGATTCATTCTATTTGGGTGCTTGATTAGCAGAGTACATGTTTGAAAAAAAAAATAATGATACTTTAAGTGATAGCTTTGGATAATTCAGTTTGTCAAGCTTTTCTCTCCTAAAGCTAAGAAAATAAAAATAATCCTTTATGAATTATGGAATTATCACTCATGAATTAAGTTTTAATAGATAGTACAATGTACTTGTGAATTAACAGTTCCAGTTTTGACATGAAATTTGTTCCCATCAGGGAATCTTTACATATATTAAAAGTGAGCTTCAAAATACAACCTTGAAAATGAAAGCAATCACCATCTAGTGACTTAAAACCAGTTTAAACATTGCAACTCCTTATGAAGATGAACAATCATTTGTTAAATGAACAGAACACTAAGAGCTTAAGCTTCAATACAGACAAACCCACTGGTTTGCTAATTACTGTGGGAATCTTTTTTCAACCGGGATTATTGCTAAGAAATAGAATACAGTTAAATATATACATATCAAACACACCTAATTGACTATAAGAGCTTGAAACAGATTTTTTTAGCATGTCAAATAAACTCTTCTTCTAAACCTACAACACTACAAAGTAATGCTGCTGCTTCTAAAAATGTGGCTATTGTTCAGAATCATGAACCTTTTTATTAGAACTGCTTTGAGAAGGTTTATGAAATAGACAAAAATAAATTTTAACAATTTAATTTATGATTGCAGCATGTCTTTGGAATACTTCTCTGAGTCTATCATTTTTTTCTTAAGTGGCTCTCGAATTCTGCCTTTCCTCCTTTTGCATGAGCTCTGACTTTGGTCAGCTTTTAACATCACAAGAGTCTCTGAGTTGGTTCCCAGCCATCATTGTCTCCTGACTTGGCACACTGTCCTTATTCTACAAGGCCTTTACACCTCCATTCTTTTTAGAACATCACCTTCATTATCCAAATTCAATTGTTTGCAGATCCTGTTGGGAGTAGTTGCTCCTTCATCTTTGCTCCAAGAGAAATTTCTTCAAACCTCTCTTATTTTAATGTATTATCTTGAAATTCCTTACATCTTTATCTTATTGTCTATTCATCTTTATCTCCTTGCCATGATAACTAACACAAAGTAGCACCAAAAACTCATTTGTAAATATGTTAATAAACAAATAAATGAAAGGAAGCAATAGAAAATGGTCACCCATCTTAACCAATTTCAGTTTTAAATGTAATGTCTCTCACTAAATAGAAAAATAAGTACCTAACAAGCATCTGAGCACATGTTATAACTTGAATGCACACCTACCTACTGGACAAAACATATTCCTATGGATGAAAAATGGGCACCTTTGTAAGTATTTAAGACAGCGTTTTAAAGGCAAAACACAAGACTTTTTAAAGACAAAATACAAGACTTTTAAACCATGCAGAATTATATAATCCTCCGAGGTAACTAAAGTACTTAAGATTCATATGAATATGGAGATTTGTGTGTACGCATATATGTGATGTGTATATATTTATTTCAAGTCAGACTCATTTTTTTTTTTTTTTTTTTTTTTGAGACAGGTCTTGCTCTGTTGCCCAGGCTGGAGTACAGCATGGTGCAATCATGGCTCATTGCAGCCTCACCTCCTGGGCTCAAGTGATCCTCCCACCTTAGCCTCCATAGTAGCTGGAACTATAGGAGTGTGCCACCACACTAGCTGATTTTCTTTTGTATTTTCTGTAGGACAGGGTTTTTCACCATGTTGCCCAGGCTAGTCTCAAACACCTGGGCTCAACCAATCCACCCACCTCAGCCTCCCAAAGTGCTTGTATTACAATCATGAGCCACCATGCTTAGCCAAACTCATTATATTCTCATGCCCCTGTGTATGGTGATGCATGGGATGAAATGAGTACATAGTCTCATTTAAGGTTTAGCCAAAGAATAAAAAAAAAATAATAATAAGTGATGATCTACACCAGGCGTCAGCCAAACTACTGCCTGTGGGCCAAATGTGATGTACTGCCTGTTTTTGTAAATAAAGTTTTATTGGAACACAGCCACACCCATTTGTTTACATGTGGTCTCTGGCTGCTTTAATGATACAAATAGAGTAGTTGCAACAGAAAGTATATGGACCACACAGCAAAAATACTTATTGTCTGACCCTGCAAGAAAGTTTGCCAACCCTTGATCTATAGTCTCTAATTATTTTTTGGTCATATGTCTTCTTTAGGCTTGTGTTTATTTCTAATCTGAAATTTTAAAAAATTACTTTCTCTTGGTGCTTTGTATATGTAAGTGATAGTAACATATTTGTTATAAATATGTCTGATAAAATTCCTCACAATCCATTTAAAATAAAAATGTGACCTATATATAAATATTTTCTCAGAGATTTTACAAAATTTTAAGTGCACTATACAATTGCTATCTTTAAAAAAAACCACCACAAATATGCAACTATATATTTCATAATGAACTTACTGTTTAGTGATGAAAATTCTACATCTGGGTAACATACTTGTGGCTAGTCAGATGTTCGGCAGATATTATGGGTATCTAGCAAATAAAAAATTATTTAATGAATGATCCATGCAAGCAAGCCAACAATCAAGAGATTACAACATTTTAATATTAAATTTTTAAAGAAAAGTGAAATTCAGCTGTGAGGTGAATAGTCCTTATCTGGTCAACATAACAGTAAGTTAATGTAAACTTAAATGCCAAAGTAGCAACTAACTTTTTAAAATCTTCATGTTAAATTCTATTCTATAAATGTTACCAGTTTTTAGGAAATAAGATAAGTAAAACTATCAAAAATTCATGCAGAGCAGTAATTGAAAGAAGCCCTTTTTGTTGGCCTACACACACACACACACACACCCCTGTGGTTTCAGTTACTTAGTAATCATCCTGAAATCAGATAAGGAAACGTCTTGCCTATTTTTGTGCAACCAAATTTCTAACATTTTCATTCAAATTAGGGTGTCTAACTTTTTTTTCCAAATTAAAAATACAAGGTAAGCATTATAAAGCAGTAATTAAAAAGAACTAGGTAAGAGCATAGGTTTATTACTTCAGAACATATTTCTGAATCCTAATGGCACCTTTTATTGTATTTTAAATGGGCAAGATAACTTGAGAGAAAATACAATAAGAAACCAATACAGAGTTGACTTATTTCAATAGTCCCCAAAGTTAAGAACTTCAAATTCGTAGTTTGATTCTTCAACCCAAAATTAATGGCTGCTAACCTGAGAGAGGCAGCACAATAGATTGAGAGTGTCAGAGGACTAAAGGCACGGGTTCTACCCCAAGAGATCTATTTAATGGCTGTGTGACCCTGAGCAAAGCAACTCATTACTCTATGCTTAACTATCTTCTATAAAATGACACTAATCCCATTTCATCAATGTTGTTGGGAGAATAATGAAATCACATACACAAAGGCATTTTGTTGTTGTTTTTTTCAATTTAGACATCTTAGACTAATTCAACATACTACAATCCACAGTCTGGCGTGTATATTAATATGTCCCTGTTTTATTTTCAGTTCTCAGCTGACATTTTTACACAATTTTACAGCATTGGCAAATGGCACGAAAATGTGCTCCAAGCATAATGAAGCTTCTCATACCATTTTTCCTGCTGCTGCAGGACAGGATGTTGCACCCAACAGTGTAGAAGCATCAAGGATGGGGCTGTCGAAACATACCAAGGACCTTCAACACCAATCGATGCAGATGAAGGGCCAGCTATAAACTTCTGCATGCATGCAGGCTGCATTTTGTGGCATCAGCTATTTCCAGCATTGCTAATGTACTGTAGGCATATACATATGTATGTATATGTAGATATAATATATGTGTGTATATATATATCCATTCCCTTTTCTTTCCTTTGGTTGTCAAATAGTATGAAGACCCAAGATTATGCATGAAATGGTCACAGCACAATGCAAAAAGTAAAGTGTCCCCTACAACCCAGGTGGCCAAGGGCATGTTGAAATTTGCTGCTATAGTTCTGCTTACACCAGCAATTCTACAGTCATATATGATATACACATGAGAGTTCTTTATCATTGATTTGTAACTGTAGATGGATTGTATTGAGTCCATCACGACAGTTTGACCAAAAATTACTTATTAACATGCCACATAAGCACAATCAAGCATTCTTGTAAATGAGTCTGATGTGTTCACGTAAATCCAGAGATATTTTGAGAAGCTTCTGAGAAATTAACGATTCTTTGCCAAGAAGCGTTTAAAGCTTGACTGAAACTTGAAATTCATTTTTTTTTGTATTCTGATTTTGAAAGTTTTTAATGGTTATACTAATAGCTGAATATTCTTCATCAACAGTATATGATGTATTGTGGAACAAGGGTGGCTACTCCTCACAGCAATAACAACAAATTGATGTCTCAATTGGTCTTCCCTTCCCAAGGGGGAATATGTTGATTCTCATCTGATACTGATTCTTTTGAGATTAATTTGGCCACATTTAATCTTCATCTATGGATTATCTGAAATTTGGCTTGGCTCTAAGTTTTTTCTTACACTGTCAACTCTATTGAAGTCCAAATCTACTTCATATAAATAAAACTTGAAATTAACCAGTATTTTCTGAAAATATTTTTAAGTAGAGTCAGAAAATGCTGGGTGAATGAATGTCAATTTTTAAATTTTAAATATTTTAAATCATCATTTAATTTTAAATAATTATTACTGTATATCATAAGATTTAAATTTATGAAACAAATCCCTTTCACTTAAAAGCATCTCACATAACTGTTACTCTATAAACTTGCACAGAATACAGAATGATTGTCAATTTGTCATACTTAATTTATTTTTTTTTCCTTCATAAATCTCCAACATTTATGCCGGTTAATTGTAGAAATAAGAGCACTTGTATTTTTCTTTCACTGAAAGCATTCAGAATAAAAGCTTGGAAATGATGTATACAAACAATTTATTTTGCATCAGCTTATTAAATGATTCATATTATAACGAATTTATAACAAACTATTTACAAGAGTGGTCATTTGTGGCATATATAATACATTTAAATATTTTACTTTTTATTAATCATTTGGGCAAGAACTGAGAAACTGTATATATCAAATGTTTTAAATAAAAACCTTAAAATGATCTCTGTTTTTGATTGGTCAAAATACCTGCACAATTGGTCGAAACCAGTGAGAATTGCTTGTGTAAATATCATTTTAGTAGCTTCAGAAATGGAGCTGCGACAACTTTGGAGCACTTATAAATGGCATAAAAGCATTCTGCTGCTCATCATAGAGAGAATGTGTAGGCCAACAAGAGGTATCTTTGAAACCCCATGCTTATTAAAGCACCCTCTACAGCCCTCACGTACACACGATTCCCACTGACCTCAATGGGAAATCCACGTGCGTAAGGGCTGTTGGATTGAGCCCTATTAGAGTTGTTTTTTAAGAAACAAAGCTGTAAATTAGCAAACCTGGTTGGCTGTGGCTGTTGCAGCGAAGGGAACACTTGTGGCAGATGTTGTTGCTGCGGACACAGTGGCTGGCGTAGCACCGTGCACCATGGGAACTTTCGGAGGGAAAATCATATAAGCGAACATACAGAAGAGTGTAGCAATATGGAAACCATGGCAACATGGAAGAGATAATTGGGCATGGTATTTATCACAGCAATAAGCCATGTGACAGGACATCATCACCAGCGAGTGACATGCAATCACAGCGCAAAGCAGGACAACATTCCAAGGAGAGAAGGGGAGGAGGGATGAAAGAGAAAAAAAAGGGGGGAAAAAGCTTGTTACCATCAAATCAAGAAAATTGACACAAACAGGCTTAATTTGCTAAGTCAAAAACAAGAATTTTATATAGTGTTCATAGACATTTAAAATCTAAGTCAAAGTACAAGTATTTACTTAATATATACAGTTATCTGTTTGAATGAAAGTATTTTTTTCTCATTTACCATTATAAAAATATACAGTATATTACTTTTATGAAACAGATTTTTTTTTTTTTTACACACCAGAACTCATAGTCCAATCAAAATCCACCAAAGGTGACTAAAGGAAACTGTTGTGTGTAAAGAAAACATTTATGTGAGTCCATGTCAATTAAATAGAAAATGACATTTAATTGACAGGTGTTAGTAAAAGGGAAATGGACTTACCCAATAGATATAAGTTAAACTTAGCAGTGGATTTTGAGGGGCTGTGAGGTACATCATAGGTTTAAGATAATCAAGAAACAAAGCTGGCACCTACCAACACTTGTAGCGGGTGTCATGCACAATATTGAGCCTGCCCATCATGCATTGCAACAGGAAGGTGGATTTGAAAAGGGAAAAGAATTAAAACATCCCATCACACGTGTAATTAGAAAATTCATTTGAACAAAGAAGAAAAATTGTTATTATGGGAACAGTGGCATGTAACTGTCAGCACAATCAAATCATACAACAGCACAGTGATCAATTAGAACTAGTCTCAAGTGAAGAATAAAAGCCAGTTTAACTGTGTGCTGGTACACTTTGTTTCTCTTAATTGGTGTCTATAAGCAAAATATTTTGGAAGTAATTTAAATCCACTTCATTATTTTAAAAGTACTATTGTAATCTGTTTTGTTTTAATCTGATTACTAACCATCTGGTTGCTTTGCTATTTCTGACTTTAACTTATGAATGCCTTAATATTTCCTTTATATCAAGCACATACTAACTTATTATTTATTATTAAATACTAAATAACTCAATATACAAAACTGACTTAAAAATTTAATGAAACCCAAACATTTATTTTATTCCTTTTATTTTCCTGTTCATTGTAGCGGCAACCATATAGGAAAGGGTTGTGATTATTCATACAGAATTTGTATTTGGAGGGATACCAAGCAATAAATTACACATAAAAAAGTGAAATTTCTGAATTTCCTTAGTTTGAAATTAAAATGTAGGAAAAGAATTAAGAGGGAATATAATTTCTTGTAAGGATCAAATTGGTTTACTTCATGTTATCCAGGAAATCAGAGTGGTTTTCATTGCTGGTTTAGACCTTCAAGACTTCTGGGAGTAGCAAATGTTCAACAAAATTTCACACATAAGAAACTGCTAATTATACTTCAATAAAAAACTTGAATGGGAGATAGTGAAGATACATACATCACATATGGGGTGTTAGCACTGATGCTGACAATTGTTCAACCATGATAAGCAAAAATAAACGGTGCATCTATAGATAGTTCCTGTTCTCTGTGACATGTAAATATTGAAAATTTAACTTATTTTACCAAGTACAGGGCACTTTCCCGTATGCAGAACTACTGTTCTTTCTATGGGATTATTTTAGAATTCTAAGTTTTAAAATATCAAAGGATTTTGTATTTCCATCTAAATCTTGGCATATCCTGTTTAAATACTAGCAGCATCTGGGATGAACATTTGTTAGAAAAGTATCTGCCAAATGCATCTTGTCAGAGATGGCCCTATAAAATAAAGCTCCCATTGAGAAACTCAACTGAAACATGGATTACTTAACTGGCATCCCTGTAACAGCTGCAATTAGTTTGTTATCACAATTAGACTGTGGGCACAGTGATCAATGATTAAACTCTGTAATGAATCTAGGGACACATCGTATCAGGTAGAATAATATTATATTGACAAGCATTATGACACTTGAAGATCCCTGTCATTTGCTACTACTACTGAGTCAAAGACTTGTGAAAGACAAACAGAAACAAGCCAGTAATAACAAATAAGTTCTAATAATTTGAGACAGTAGAACAAGCAAAACTTAATACTAGATCTACATCTTATAAAATCATTACTGTCTTAATGGTAGGGTGAGAGAACTGGAAAAGAAACGACAAATGAAAAAGAATAATGTGATAATTAAGGAATATTAAAGCCAGTTTAAATACTGTACAGGTTATATATTTCAATTATTTATTATTATGCTGAGATTTGCCTACTGTATTTCATCCCATGCATAATTAAGCCTGCACATGCTGAAAATGAGTTAACCTTATACTATCTCTCTAAAACCCTAAAGCTTTTGATTTGAATTTTAATTTGAGTTATCTTCCTCATTACCATTATAACCAATGCACACAGTTTTGAGAGGGATTTGCAGCAAATAAACATAAGGCAGCAATGATAATACTAGCCAGGGTGCAGTAACTCACAAATATGAGAACATAATGCTGTAGGACCCACTTACCAAAAACGAAAATCACTTTTGAAATGACCATAATTTCCATCTTTACATGGGTTGATTTATTAATAATAATGTGCAAATGGCCAACTTAAATTTTTCCTCAGTTTTCAGCACAAAGCAAAATTTAAGTGAATGTATTTGTCAATTTCCAATTTTCCCTACAAAGATATCTGCAGAGCAGAATGGTGTATTTCTAAGAAATGTGTTATTTTAATTGCACAACTTTTTAAATCAAAAATTTTAATTGATATGTATGAAAATGTAGGAAAAACTAGGATAAAAACTTAGAAATAAGATGTATGCATAGTTAAAATTACTTGAAATAGAAGGGAAATAAGTAGAAGAGAGAAAAAGAATTGTAATAAAGATTTAGTTGGAAGTTAGAATTTTGATGTAATACTTCAGGCCTATTTAGGTTGATTATAAGTGTTAAGCTGATTAAGATCTACTAAAAATGGTGCATATCATTTTAAGACTAAAAGTTAACAATCAGTTGGATTATTCTCAAAATTGGTATCCAAACAGTACTTTTAAAATTTTTATTATAAATAATATATAATTATGAATGACTATATTTATTAATGATACTAAATGTGACAAATCTTTTTGTTTCTCTTCTTTCTATAAACACAACCCCACCTATCCCCACCCTTATACCTACACACAACCACCTAAGAAAGTTTCCTGGCCTTTTGTTGCCTTATTCTTGGTGGGGTTGTAATGCAAGCCAAAGTAGAATTTGTTTAAAGCCAACGTATTTTTAGAACTGTTACAACTCATAAGCTAACCTTGATTGAGGGAGATATGCTAGAGAGGGAGACGAGAGGTGTGCTTCTGAAGATGGTAAGTAGGAAAAAATGGTGATGTAGGGCAGAGAAAAAAATGCCTCAAGACTGAAGTGGTAGGCAGTGTGCAGCTCCACAGGTAGCTGGGTAGGTAGCCTGTTCTTTCACAACAACCCTACAGACACAGGCCCTCAAGGGGACGGGGGCCTGCAACTCACAGGACAAGGAAGCCTATACCCAAGGCAAGCACAGAACCCTTGGAGTACCTGCCTTCAAGAGCACTTGTACATAGGCAATGATTTTACCAGCAGTGAGCAGCAGTGACTGAGGAATGAAGAATGAAGGATGCATAGCCTGTTTGAGAAAACCAGACTGCACAAGACGTCACTCAAAGTAAGGTCAGGAGAGACAGGAGCTGGGGGATGGAGTCCTGGATTCCCAGTTATGCCTATTATTTCTCTCAACCCAGGGAGACGGAGATTAGAGATCAGAGCTAGACTTAATTTAATTTCAAGGTAAAAAATTATGTAAAGGAAAGTGGTATTTCTTATACACCTTAATTTCATGAGTGAAAATTCATACCTGTAACATAAATAGATCCTAAATTATGCATAATATCTACAAATAATCCATCTGGTCCTGAAAGGGGAAGGTTAAAACAAGTATATATCTAAATTTGAAAAAACAAAACTTCAGTATGAATTTAACCTAATACTTAATTATCTTTAAATGAGGTGGAAGGTGTAAAGCACCATGGAGTTAGGTGATCAGTAAGGGCTATTCCACTCTCCCAAATCATTTTTAAGGTGTTCGTGTAATCAGCTCATAGATACTGGGAGACTAACCCAGGTTAGCCTGACCTGACTTCAAGTTATACTTAAATCTAAACCTTATAAATGCCATTTAACTTGGCTTTTCACTGTACCTCATTAGGCTTCAAATTACTCATTGGTAAAATGAAAATATTAATGCCAACCTTTTGGGCGTTGTAAAAAAAAATGAGATAATGTGCACAAAGCACTCAGTGTAGCATGGAACGAGAGCAACCATTCAATAAAAAGTAGCTGTTTTGGACAAAATGTGTGAAACAACTTGGCCTAAGGTAATAGGGAATTGTACAGCTTGGAACCGAAGGGTACAATATGTGTCCTATCTAGAGGTTTTACATTTAGTTTTCATTTAAACACTCTTAAACAAACAAACATTTTTCTAGATACTAGATTTTACCCTTGGGCCATGAGTTTGCAATCCTTCACATAAATACTGGTATACTATGTGGCATACAATCAATATTTATTACTGAATAAATGGAAATATGGGTGGATACATAAATGGGTGGATGAATAGATGGATGGAAAACAGAAGGATAGGGAAGGGAGGAAGGAAACAAAGATAAAGAGAGGAAAGAAGATGGGAGGACAGAATGATAGGAGGATGAATGGAAAGATGGCTGAATGATGGTTAGATGGGTAATGTCACGTACACAGTAAATCCAATTATGTTCTTAAAGTATGTAGTAATTTTTCTTAGCTAGCTGGCTGGCTGGCTTGTCACTGCACCCTGATCTTTTGCCAACAACCTACTCTGTATATGCAGTCACCTGCTTTAAGAATTTAACCATGCTTCACTGTAATTTGAATAAAATAGATCTATATATCAGAATTATCATTGAAGCAACAGACTATAGATCTCTAAAATTTGAGCTGCAAAAAAATGAAAGAATTCTATTTTCTTCCCAGTCCCAATAAAATCTTCAGAGTATACCTTCCAAATTATTATATTGTGATACTAATTCCTTGATCATATAATTCTTCTGTATTATTTGTCTGCAGAACAACCAAACTTTGGAGAATGAAATTCCTTTTCTCCCAGATATTAGACATGAGATCATATGTGAATTTGTAGTAAGATTTCCTTTAGTTCTGAAAGGGTGTTTTTAAAAATCTGAATTGCAGAAATTTAAATATTGAGAAATTTGACATATAAGCACACAGGTGTCCAGAATATCTGGGGAAAAAAATCATAAGACACAGCAACACTGTACATCAGGGCTACTGTGTTAGGTTTTACAGGTTTGTATAACCAACCCTATGAGGTATATACGTAATCAACTGTGGTTTACATAGACTATGATGTAAATGGTGCTACAAAGGGTTTGTAGTACACCAGGTACAACCTGCCTAGGCAGACAATCCTTTGAGGTGAGAAAGGCAAAGTCTGAACATTGACAATACTCTTTAGACTCAGCCTGTGCTCCCCTGTGCCTCCCAGATCCCATAACTCCCAATTTGTTTCTTGCTTCACTTGTGTTTCCTGCCTGAACCCTGAGGCTTTTGCATTTACATTCCCTGCATTAGACTTTTTTCATTTTTGACTGTCTGACAAAGTGGTGGGGCAGAAATAACGATGATTTATCCATTTTAACCTTTTCATGACATAGGGTCAATTTTTTTGCACACAGGTACATATTATATAATGAAAACACTTGTAAATAATCATGGAGTCACTACCTACTTCTGATTATGTGATTAATAAAGGTCAACCTGCTGCTTTAGGCCGTTATAACTAAGTTGCAAAAAATGTCATGTTACTAATATTATATTGATTATATTTGAGAAATATATATATGCGTATGTGGGTGTGCGCACATGTATGTGTATATATACACATAAATAATTTTATTTATTTATTTATTTATTGGCGATGAGTCTTGCTCTGTCACCCAGGCTGGAGTACAGTGGCATGATCTCAGTTTTCTGCAACCTCTGCCTTCTGGGTTCAAGTGATTCTCCTGCCTCAGCCGCCCGAGTAGCTGGGATTACAGGCATATGCCACCATGTCGGGCTTATTTTTGCCTTTTTAGTACAGACAGGGTTTCACCATGTTGGTGGCCAGGCTGGTCTAAAACTTCTGACCTCAAGTGAGACACCTCCCCCAAAGTGCTGGTATTACAGGTGAGGGAGCCACTGTGCTTGGCTTATATTTGAGAAATATTGATCAAGAATGGAATATCTCTGATGCAAAATGCATTGCAATAAATGCAAACATATCTTAATATTTTCAGCATATTTCAGTTAATGTAGATTTTGTTTAAATTAGCAGTGCTTAACCTAGAACAGAGAGACAAGTATGATTCTGATTTATGATTGAGTTTATTATTTTCCTAATTTGACCTTTACCTATCATCTTTGGTTCTATCCACAGACAAAAAAACTATTCTAGGGAGATACTAGTATCACAAATAAGGGCCATCGTACCATACAACTGGTGGTTATTCTTATTTAGAAAAAAAACTATAGTCATTTGAATGTTGAAAAAACTAATGTGAAACCTATTTGATAAAATAGATTATTTCAGCTTTCTTCAAATAGCATAGATTTGTTGTTTAGACTTTAGTAGAGAAACTATTATGTTTTTTAAAGACTAGCCAAGTGCAGTAGCAAGAAGAGTGGAGTGAGTAGAGGAGTTCAATCTGTAACTGACTGTGAACAATCAATTGAGATAACTCACTACCATTGGTCTAGCCAAAACTGTCATTTCTCATGGTAATGTTTTAGCCAATAAAATATACTGACAAAAATAAGTTTTAATTTCTTCAAAGAGATTATGATAGTTACATATAATCCCTTGAAACCTTATCTGCTCGTCTGACTACAGAAAAGCTGATGGATTGTTTGTTGGGAGCAGTGAAAATCTAGGGACACAGCAACTTCCACAAGAGCAAGAAGATTAATTTCTGGAAATTTCTGAAAAACTACAGATGTTGAGAAGAAAGTTATAATATTACAAAATGTAAGAGAAGTGTGAGTTTTCCCTCAGAATGCTGCAAATACACTACAGGTCAAAATGATTTAATTTTTGTTCCAATACGGACAAACTGCAGCTTGATAGGTACTATCACAAGTATAAATATCATTTTGTACATGTGTCTGGGGCACTGGCTATTTCAGCTAGTGGAATATCCTACTTAATTGTTACTTCATATTTATTCTACATATGGATGGCTGATTTTCAAAGATGCACTGTATAAAATGTTATGGTTAGTAGTAAAAACTCATATAGATGTAATTTATTTTGTTCATGAATCAAAAATAAATTCGCATTCTGTTATAGCATTATGAACCTAATACACTGTAAATACTGCCAAAATAGTTGAATATAAAATTGGGAGCTGGATTTTTGACATATATATCTATTCAATTTAATTAATAAAATAATTTTATTAAATAAATGTCTAAAATCATGGTATTCTGAAAATAAGGGTGAAGTAAGAGGAAAGTGAGATTAGAGTTTCTGATTAGTAAAATTCCAGATAATAATTAGTTTATATGTATTTTCTGAAATAAATTCAGAGTGAATAGAAAGAGTAAATTTCCAGGCAATTAAATGAGTAGCTAGTCTGTGTTTTAATCTTTGAAATCTGTGTGAATAATTCCAGATTATGTATACATTACCAAATTGAAAATGAGCTGAAACCACAAATGGAGAACTCCATAATAAATGTAAACATTGCTGAGCCCTTAGGGCTACTTCAATAGTAGCTTAGAAAGAGTAATAATTTTAAGCAATGTACTGATTGATGTCAATAAGAGCCCTTTTTAAGAGCTCCAGAACACAAAGTCTTTTTTCATTCTTGACCTTGTAAACAAAACGGCTGAAAAGTAAAAATCAAAACTGAAAGTGTCATTTCATATTATTTAAATTAATTCTATGGAATAATGAAGGCAAAAGGGTCTTACAGCAAGAAAGTAAAAAATAGCTTGACAGACATATAACAATGTTGAGGAAAGAGAAAAAAAAGAGAACCATATTTCATTTCCAAATTACACAAACACGAATAAATATATAAAATACCACTGATCCTTAAACCATATTTCATTAAGCTAAAATCTTTAGTCTTTAAGGAAAACCACATGAGATACCTTGGATAAGTTTCCATCATTGACCACCTTACCTGACACCTCATCTATAAATACAAACAAACTTGGGGTGTGGTTTATCTGCTCTAACAGTAGGACTCTCTGTGGATTGTCAGATTAATTTATTAAGAAACCCCACCCCTTACCTGGTGGGAGAAATGCTGTATGCTGTTGTAACTGCATGTTGGCTAGAGCCTGTTGGTATTGGAAAATACCAGTGTTAAAGACTGCGGTGGCACCGTTGGTTTTTTCAAGAGCAGGCCTCTTTGGTAATGGGGGAAGTACAGCTTGAGGAATTCCCTGTTTAGTGAATGAGTATAAAAAACAAATACCAGTAAAAAGAAAAAAAGAAAAAAGAAAAATCAGTCGAAGGCTAAAATTGTTAGGAAGCATGAGCAAGCAAGCAGCAGAGCACTTAACTACCCGAGGGAAAAAAAAATCAGTGAACAAAAAATTAAGGAAAAAAAAAAAAAGCAAGATAAAAGCTTTAAAGGAAGCATTATTTTTGTCCAAACCAAAATCTCACTAGTACGAGAGTACATGTTATAATGAGTTAAAGTGCTTTATGTCCCATAATGCTTCAGGCTTTCTGTGAGAAGCCACTGATTTGGGAAAAGAAGAAAAGCCGCACTGAGAGCTCCATGAGGATTGACAAGTATAAGCAATGTTAATAGTTAATTGTACAGAGTGACTGAAACAGATAAAATAAAAACTAACCCCACTCTGCTCCTCCCCCCAGATCTACCTAGACATGCAAATGTCCCAGAGCATGCAATTTTTTTTTCTTAAATACTGAACTATAAATACTAAAATGTAAATAACTCTACCACTAAAGCCATGCTAACCAAACAGGTACATAAATATACATTCAAAAGTACACTCTTTACGTCCTCCAACTATTTCTTTAGAACATTCTACAATGTAGTTAACTGAATGTGGGCTGCTGGGCTTTCAGAATCTTTCACTGTATGTTATCCATCTATGTACTTAGATTATAGTCTTTCTACTAATTTTGTCAGGAAACCACACTCAGTTTTTTCATTGTACTTTACAACTCTATAACAGAAAAAAGGATATATATTTTAAAGTTGATTTAAAAAAAAAAATTTGTATCTACAATAAAGCTACATGCCAAGCTAAAAGGTGAAAGGTCATAGTACCAGGTCAAAGGTTGCCTCGAGGGGTCGCTTCAGTGATTTGACAGCCGACTGAGTCTTAATTAGCAGGCAGCGAGCACATGATGGCAATGGGCCAGTGGGGTTCAAGCGCATTAACATAAACAGCAAGCAGAGGTGCATCATGGGGGCAGCAGTGCATTTTTGGGTAGGTGAGAAAAAACAAATAAAAAAAACAAATCATCGGAATGCCATATACAACGAATAACAAGACTAAGCATGCACAATAAAGGCACTACTGAGTTGTTATTGGGAGGATAAACTCCTCTTTGTAGTTAATTACAAACAAGATACTCTAACAGAAAAAAAAGAGTGAAAGGAAGAGAGGAGGAGAGAGTCTGCCTTCTGTATTTTTGCTCAAGTATCCATAAACAAACACAGAAAAGATCTCTCTCGTGACTATTTCACTGTTATGAAATACTACACAGTGACTTTTAAAATGAATATTTCATTGATTTAAGTCATGTATTTAGGTAAAAAATGACTACATTAAAACAGCTAAGCAAAGAACAAAGAATGGGCTCATTAAAATTAGCTATTAGATCACATTAAAATTTACCTTGAGAATAGTTTAGTAGCTATTCTTAATGATCTAATTTTTAACTCCTTGAGTACTACTGTCTCTCTCCTTTCTATATAATGGCATAGTCAAGCTTCTCTAATTTTGCTATTATGTTTATGCCACAATATTATTTCAGACAATCTAGATAGTGTACTGTTCAAAATCCTGTAGCTAATTTAAAGAACAATTTTGTTGAAACAATTCTCCTAAATAGTTCCAGATCATGTTATTGTTAAAAGCAGGATATATGTAAAGAAGAGCCTTGATGTGCAAAAGAACACACCAAAGGAAAACAATGGCTGATTAGATGGCACACAGAAATAAGAAGACCGAAAATGGCAATATCGTTAAATTGAAAAGGAGACAGGTGGTTCTTTACAAAGCAGAGATTTCAGAAACCCTACATCCAGAATAAGACAGAGTAAGAGTTAGGCCAAGAGTAGGAGCAATCTAAACCATTTGAGGAGTTACCCTCACTTCTTTGAAAGTAACTTCTTTATATGTTGTCTGGGATACCTGAACAAACATATCTTCAGCAATTTTTTTTCAAAAGCTTAATAAATGAATAGCTTGTAGTCAGATATAGTTGCTCACTTTGCTTTTCTGACTGCTAACAAGGACAGAGCTGATGTTTCTACTCACCATGGCAGCTGCGGTGGCTGCAGCCTGTGCAGCTGCAGCCTGGTTGACCTGGTATTGGGCAGCCTTGATCTTGGCTTGCAAATGTGCAGGGGGATGAAAGTATTTGCACTTTTCCCGAGAGCATCTCCCTTTGATGTAATCCATACACACAGTGACTGTGTTATCATTGGTGTCAATCATTGTGCTGTCAGCAGGATGAGCAAACCGACAATCATTTTCTCCTCTGTTGCAATTGCCACGCTGGTACTCTCGACATACCTATGAGGTCATTAAGTACATGAAGTTTAGTCAACATGAACAAGTAGAAGCTTTCTGAAGACTTTAAGAGCAAGACAAGCCACAGAAGGCTATAGATGAAACGGGAAAAATGATTTTCAAACAATGCAACAATGTAACTTTAGCCTTTCCTAGATTAGTTACAAATTATAACTCCATTTCAGTATAAATGTCCCTAAGAAAGAAAATGCATTTATAACATTAATTTTGGTAAAAATACAATCTGAAATGGTGTTGATATACTTATTAATTGCAAAGGTAAAAACAGTAACTTCAAAGTAAAGAAACATGACAGACATCACTTTAACCAAGTGATCAAAATTAACATCACCAATGAGACATACTGACATTGTGTACCTACTGATATGACACAATGAGAAGGACACACAATCACAGTAGTTGTATTATTGCCTGAATTTAATCAAGAGGAAACATCAGACGAAGTGAATGGAAAGATACTTTACATAATAACCGAGTAGTACCCTTCCAAAGTCTCAAGGTCATGCAAGACAGACTGAGATACTATCACAAACTGGAGGAGCTTGGAGTCAGAGAAAGAACATTGGGAGGACAACTGGTAAAATTTATTAAAGTCTGTAAATTAGCTAAACAGCAGTATATCAATGCTATTTTTTCTGGTCTTATGACATTCCACAGTTATATATGATATTAATATTTAGCTCAGTGAAGGGTGGACAGAAACTCTTGGCTCCATTTCTGCAACTTTTGTGTAAATATAAAATCATTTCCAAGTGAATGATACAAAAAATCAAATTTGATAGCTTTTTATGAAAATGTTTCGAGGAGTTATTTTTTGATCTTTAGAGATTCACTTGGTAGCTATATAAACCAGTAAAAAAAATTCTGTTTTTGTTATTGTCTGTTTGTTTAGTATTTGCTAATTCTGTTGATTTTGCCATGGAGATCTTAAGGAAAAAGAAAAAATTGATTATTTCTCATTCATCTGCGCAATTTTGACTCATGCTATTTAAAACTGGTCTTCGTTCAGGATAGTTTGACCCTTTTACCACAAGAGGGCCATCTAAAACACAGAATGTCCTTTTAATACTTACGCTTTTCAAGCTTCAAGGAAACAGTTTTCAATTGTTGAAGTATCTTATCTTTTCACAAATAGTAAAAGCAGATACTAAGCACTTTATTTTGAAGTTAAGCAAGAAAGAGAAACTGTAACTCTGCTATGACTTAGGAAGCAAAGGTTTTCTTGAATTTGTAGAAATAAAATGATTGCATTTAAATCTGGGTGTTTTTCCCCCATTATATTCATACCCTATTACTGAGGAAAGTGCTTCTTAAAGGAGATACTATAATTTGTACCACACTACATTTAAAAAAAGAACAGTATAAATGATATTTTGTACTACTTGGAAACCTCAAGCTAGCTAAAGTTTTGTGTTCCAAATACATTCAATGAGCCAATGTCATTCATCACCACACACAGTTATTACAAATACAAAAATGACTTAAAAATTCATTAATGATTCTGGTTTTTATTAATGTATTTATCTTATTGAACAGAAGAAAGAAGGCATACAAGTATAACCAAGATTTATAACTTATAAAGCAAAAATGATCAAGCTGTTACCCAGAATAATCATCCTCCTCTCCGGCTGAACATTAGAATCAGCTATGGAGCTTGCTAAAACAGTACCCAGTAACCTAATCAAAACTTATTCTATGTGAGGCTCATCACTATACTCAGGAAGAGTGATGTACCTACATTAAATAATGATAAAACGGGGTGTGTGTGTGTGTGTGTGTGTGTTTGTGTGTGTGTGTGTGCGCGCACACACGCCAAACATATACTACTGCATAAACAACAGGGCTACTTTTCTGTTTAAGCAAATCTATGTTAATGTAGGAATCACCAAACAGGAAACTTGCAGAAGGTCTATAAGTGATCTCTTACGGCTGCTGTTCACTCCTCAGTAATTCCTGCCTTGCTGAATATGCTCAAAATGAATCAGCAGCAGTGAACTAACATTCTGTTTTTCCAATTTAGTGTACTATATGCCACATTAACAAGAAAAAAGACCTGAATTAGTCTATTTTTAGGTTCTGTGTGTATTTGTGTGTGTGTGGGGGGGGGGTGGAGTTCTACAGGTTAAGAATTGGTTTATTATAATTTTACAATCTTTACTCTCCTGTGGGATGCATTTAGAAAGAATTCTAAAAAATATTTAGGCAAAGGTAATTACTAAGAATTAGCTTAGAATGTGTCCTAAAACCTTTTCTGAGGGTAAAATAACTTAATCAACTTCCTTTGCATAATATGCATGTTTGACTCTCATATTTTTATTTTTTTGCAGCTTAAGGTTTCTCCTGACATAAGAAATGGGACAAAATGAATACAGTGTAATAGCTACTCTCACATTATTCTTGCCTTTGAAAAAATAAAGAAGAAAGGGAAAATCTCTTGTGAAAACTTGTGCTGGTGAGAGTTACAGGCCAGAGGGACTGGCAGTTTACCAGGCATTAGATGTGCATCTGAAGTGTGGGGTACCTATGGGAACATGAACTTCCCCATGCTTTTAAAACACATTTTCCCTAATAGACACCATCAATAAAATAGGTTCTATCCCTTGGTTGCTCAATATGGGTTTGGTCTGGTTTCTCTGATAAGGACACTTTAGATTATGTTAATCCCCAAAAGAAATCTCTTAGACATACTGTTACATGAGTAAATTATAATTGACAAACAAAATTTCAACAAATTTAACCTTATCATTAAAATCAGGATAAGAAATTATAACATTTATCACACAGAGAATTTGAAACACAGAAGGTAAAATTAAATCTGAAAATTCTAACATTTTGGTTCATTTTTCTATCCTCATCAAGTCTTCTGTATACACACATTTTTAAAAATAGCTGATAGCTACTATTTGGTGACCTTTTTTGCTCAACAATGCAGAATAAGCATTTTCTTATTTTGCTAAATAATTTTCAGAGTGATCACTTTCGATGGCTGCATCAAATTTAATCAAATAGTGTATATAATACAGGTAACTCTTTTGGAAGATATATAATTTCCAAAATTTCCATATTACAAATATTCAAATAATATATTCATGATTATAGGTTTTTTTGATCATTTTTGACAGATAAATGTGCAGAAATGGCATTTATATGTTGACCTAATTACTGGGTCAATTATAAAAATATTTTATAATCGGGCACGGTGGCTCATGCTTATAATATTGGCACTTTGGGAGGCTGAGGCGGGTGAATCACTTGAGGTCAGGAGTTCGAGACCAGCCTGGTGAACATGGTGAAACCCTGTCTCTACTAAAATACAAAAATTAGCTGGACATCGTGGCGGGAGCATGTAATCCTAGCTACTCAGGAGGCTGAACACGAGAATCGCTCAAACCTGGGGGGCAGAGGTTGCAGTAAGCCAAGATCCCGCCACTGCAACTCTAGCTTGGGCAACAGAGCAAGGCTCCATCTCCAGAAAAAAAAAAAGAAAGAAAGAAAAGAAAAAACAAAAAAAATGTTTGATAAATGGTTTTCAAACCTAAAGTAAGATAATAAGATCTATTTAGCTACACATATAATGTGATTCAATATGAGCCCTTTACAAGTACTAAGGCAAGATCTGTAAATGAAGATATTCACTGACAACATTTAAATTCTAAATGTTATTTCCAGAAAACACCTATGGAATAATTATATACTTTAAACAATCAAAAGAAAACATAAACAGAAAAATTTCCCAAGAAAATGTAAATTAATTCTAAATAAACCTTCTTTTGTTAGCTAAATAGCAGTGATATAGTGGACTGACGATAGGGTTTGGAGTCAGAAATTGTTGCGTTCCAGTTCTTATCACTTTACTAGCTATAGACTCTTCACAATGAAAACACTATGAACATCTATTTAAAAGGTCATAAATACCAAATAAAATGATGCATAGCTTATAACACACCATACAAATCTGGATAATATAAATAATTCTGTCATTTGATCTCTAATTTTTTAATACATGAAAACATTTCAAAATGGTCAAAATAAGTTTTATAAATAATATTACATTCAACAATGCTCTGCAAGTTAAAGCACTGGAATTCTAAGGAGATTAATGTCAATATTTGAATTTATTCAAAACTGGAGAGTCATTTCCATGTTCTTTAAGGAGATATCTCTTTGAAGTAATATGTTCTGTGTTCATTTTATTTGTATAATTAACTCAGCCATCTTTGGAAAACAACAGTCAAAAGGAGGGACAGAAAGTTAATTATAACAAGAAGCTGGGACTCTGTCCATTTTAATATCTTGAGAAGTCAATTTAATAGTTGATGACCAATATTAAGAAACATATTCAAAGACATATAGCTACATGTTATTCACCAATAAGCAGCATGGACTTTAAGCGATAACTAACAAGCTAATTTAAAAAAATATATTACTTTACAGAGTAATCCTGGATAATCACTTTGGATAATCACTTTGATCAATCACTTTGATCAAAGTGTCTACTGCATTGTTAATCATGAATTTATAATTTAATACGAAGGAATTATCTGTATTTTCATTTTAAAAGGATTAAAATCTCTACTTTAGTAATCCTTCTAATTCTGGTGATCAGATAAATAGCTATAATCAATTTATTGTACAATTAAAATCCATGGATAAATACTGGATGATGTGATTTCTAGTTTCAGCTGGTGATATGGTTTGGCTGTGTCCCCACGCAAATCAAATCTTGATCCTACATGTTGTGGGAGGTAACTGAATCAGGGGGCAGATCTTTACTCTGCTGTTCTTATGATACTGAATAAGTCTCATGAGACCTGATGGTTTTAAAAAGGGTAATGTCCCTGTGCAACCTTTTTTTTTTTTTTTTTTTTTTTTTTTTGGGTCTGTCAACATGTGAAATGTGCTTTTCACCTTCTGCCATGATTGTGAGGCTTCCCAAGCCACATGGAACTGTTTAGTCCAATAAACCATTTCCTTTTTGTAAATTGCCCAGTCTTGAGTATATTTTTGTCAGCAGCATGAAAATGGACTAATATAGTTGGTTATTCAATAATTGCACATATTCAATACATTTTTCTTCTTAAAAAAATGAAGAAAAGGACACCTACTTTGGCTACCTCATAGTATTTCTGTTAGGATCAAATGGGAGCATTCTTTTAAGTCTAAAAGGCAGACTCCATTATTACCATTCAGGGCAGAAAACATAAGCATACTTCTATAGGTAATGGAACTAAGAATCTGTCACTTGATCTCATATGAAAACATAAAATAAAATCTGAATAGGAATGACCAACAACAGAACCATTAAATCCACTTCCACACTGTCATTTATTCATTCCCATGAATGACTGTGCAAACCCAACAGGACAGGAAAATAGACACAACTTTGAAAGAGGCTCATCAGTACGCCAAGTTAGCAATTACTTTTTATTATTATTATTATTATTATTATTATAGATAGGGTGTCCCTCTGTCATCCAGGCTGGAGTGCAGTGGCACATTCTCAGTTCACTGCAGCCTCAACCTCCCTGGCTCAAGTGATCCTCTCACCTAAGCAGCTGGGACTGCAGGTGTGAACCACTGTGCTTAATCTAGCAATTACTCTATTTTAAGCAATTTACAATTCTACAATCACCACATAAAAACTCTAATCACAGAGATTAATAATTGACAGAGCCATAGTATATTAAATTGTTTAAATGAAGATGTGACTACATTTTTAAGAGCCGCTCTAAAGTTTATCACAGATTTTAAAAAACAACCTACATAAGCCTCTATGTGCAAAACTTGTAAGGCTGCTTGGCAATTTTCTGGAGATAGTAAAAAAAAAAAAAAAAAAAAAAAAAATCAACACAAGCAGTAGCCAAACATCCTCTACAAAAATGCAAAATTAAAATAATCCTACCAATAAGCCTTTTGTACATTATTAAAAGCATCCTTTTTCTAATTTTTTCTGAATAGAAAGTCTTTTTATGACATCATATTAAATCCACTAAACACCTAAAAACATCCCAACCTAGGCATGCTTTTCACTGTCATTCTAAGCTTCATTTAGCTTTAAATGTTCTTTTTTGTGTAGTCAAGTGGTATCATATGTGTTTTCTCCTATATGAAAAGAGTTACTAGACTCTTCTCTGTAAGTAATGGAGACATATAAGAATTAGTGGCCCAAATTAGAAACTCATGTAATGATTACCTCATAGAATAACACTTTCACCCAATAATAATTTATTTTAATACAAACAAATGCCAACTGGAACTATCAGAAACCAAGTCATTTGTCCACCTCTCCTGGATACTCATGTTTTGCTCATATAGACTGCTGATGTAAAAATGATGCAGTTAACCAAATGTCACTCTAATGTTTTCATCAGTGTCTGAAATTTGTGGCCCCTCGTTTTTATTTGATTACTCCTATGTAATATAAATTACCTTAATAGTCATGATTGTTTACCTAATTTATTTCACTATGCTGTGCACAGTGTTCTCATTAACTTATTGGAGGAGACAGATTTTTAATTAAGGTTGATAAAAAACTACATCATTTACAAATAAATTAAATAAATGATGAAAAGTTGAAGCCTAAATATAGTTTTTCCACTGAATATTGCTGAGTAAATGACAGAATGAATGCACTCATCAATTCTTTTTGCATCATAAAAATTTACTGTGCATCTTGAAAATAAGTCAAACAATGATTTCTCCAATTACTAACTCTTTGTAATAAAGCAGGATGTGGCTAAAAAAAATCAGTCTTTTCTAGAATCTATAGATTTGAATAATTTCTTAACATAATCATGGAAAGAAATTGCTGCTTAGAAATTATATTAAAAGGCAGTCCAAGGTCACAAAATGAATTTTTTTCTTTTTTTTTTGAGATAGTCTCACTCTGTCACCCAGGCTGGAGTGCAGTGGTGTGATCTTGGCTCACTGCAACCTCTGCCTTCCAGATTCAAGTGATTCTTCTGCCTCAGACTCCCAAGTAGCTGGGACTATAGGCGTGCCATAATGCCTGGCTAATTTTTGTATTTTTAGTAGAGACAGCATTTCACCATATTGGCCAAGCTGCTCTCAAACACCTGACTTCATGATCTGCTCACCTTGGCCTCCCAAAGTGCTAGGATTACAGCTATGAGCCACTGCACCTGGCCACAAAATGGACTTTTAAAAGACACATTTCAGACTGCTATTTAAGAGAAGTTTGAATTGTAAGGCCAAACGTGGTGGCTCACACGTGTAATCTCAGCACTTTGGGAGGCCAAGGCAGGTGGACCACTTGAGGCCAAGAGTTCGAGACCAGCCTGACGAAAATGGTGAAACCCTATCTTCACTGAAAATACAAAAATTAGCCAGGTATGGTGGTACAAATTTATAATCTCAGCTACTCAGGAGGCTGAGGCAGGAGAGTTGCTTGAACCTGGGTGGGGAGGCTGTAGTGAACCGAGATTGCGCCATTGCACTCCAGCCTACATACAAAAAAAAGTATGTATTTTGGAGTACAGAAAGTACTTGGCAACCAAGTCTTTTAAAAGATAGCCAGTAAAGAAAGGATAATATGAATATTGATATAAATCTCATGTTGGGTGCATATGTGATATATGTAATATATGCTTCTAGATATATTTATATAATTTTAAAAAATAAATGTCTTCAGCTGGGCATAGTGGCTCACGCCTTTAATTCCAGCACTTTGGGAGGCCGAGGAGGGTGGATCACGAGTCAGAAGATCAGGACCATCCTGGCAAACATGGTGAAATGCCATCTCTACCAAAAATACAAAAAATTAGCTGGGTGTGATGGCAGGTGCTTGTAATCTCAGCTACTTGGGAGGCTGAGGCAGGAGAATCACTTGAACCTGGGAGGCGGAGGATGCAGTGAGCTGAGATTGCACCACTACACTCCAGCCTGGGCGACAGAGTGAGACTCCATCTTAAAAAAAAAAAAAAAAAAAAAATTGAATAGCTTGTGGCTGGTATTAATGTTAAAACAAGAAAATGACCTAAATATCCCTAGAATGTTCTAATTGGAAGTGATCTTAGAGATTATCTGGTGCAACCCCCAAATTTTACAAGTAAGGAATATGAAGCCAAGAGAATAAGCGAATCCTGATCCAAGCTGACTCACCTAATTAGCAACATCACATGCAGTAATTCTTGAATTTCTGTTTTCCAATTTAACATTTTTTTGGTAGTATCACATTGGGTGCTGTAAAGATGTCAGTTTTAAGCAATTATGTAAGAACCAGAAGGCTGACAATCTCTGATATTTTAAATTTCTTTACTGTCTAATAAGTTGCAGTAAAAAGAAAGAAGTGGCAAGAACTGGCCAATATTTTAACTGATTCAGAAAACTTTTCACCTGAGAAAGAACTCAAAATTCAAAAATATGCTTCAGAATTCCACAAGGAAAAAGTATATATTTAAATGCCAAATGATGGAACATTTGGCCAATTAATTAATGTGTGCATTTATTGCCATGTCTTTTAGACTTCAATATATCACGCAATTAGCATGCGAGGAAATAACCTGCAGATAGGATTGTCTAAAATCACAAGCACAGAGCAGGAAGATGTGCCTCTGAGCTTAATGCCGCAGTGTCCTAACAGGTGGTAACTGTGACACTGGATCAGATCTTGTTAACAAGAATAAGATAGGAAGCTGCACTACAATCAAGCATTTAGATAAGCAGAATTCAGATAAAAGGGAAATTACAGTTGATGTAGCGGTATCCATTTGTTCTGACTACAGCAAAAGAAAACAGAAAAAATATGTTTAGTAGCTCCTCACAAAAAGAAAAAACCCAAAGACAAAAAAGTCTTCATTTCAACTAAGCACTATAAAATACAAGCAGTAACAAATCACCTAAAATTGTGAATGTGGGAGGACTGGTTTAGAAGAGTTATAACCAGCTTTTTGAATGTCATCTATTAATAATTCATTAAAGTTCAAATCAGACTGATTATTTGGTTCCCATTAATCAATCAACAATTATTCATTAAGAACTCAGGGTTGGCCAGGTATGGTGGCACACGCCTGTAATCCCAGCACTTTGGGAGGCCAAGGCGGGTGGATCACAAGGTCAAGAGATCGAGACCATCCTGGCCAACATGGTGAAACACCATCTCCACTAAAAATACAAAATTTAGCTGGGCATGGTGGCACATGCCTGTAGTCCCAGCTACTCCAGAGGCTGAGGCAGGAGAACCACTTGAACCTGGGAGGTGGAGGGTGCAGTGAGCCAAGATTGTGCCACTGCACCCCAGCCTGGTGACAGAGCGAGACTCCGTCTCAAACAAACAAACAAACAAAAAAACCTCAGGGTTTGCTTTAGAAAGGTCAGGGGAATAAAACTGCTCCACATGCTGAGCATCCAATAATTTAAGATATTTAAAATGTTTTGAATTTCCTCTTACTCCATCTGCAAACAGCATTAGTAATTAATAAGCAAGTATAGTTGTGTAACCACAAACCACTCAAAAATCCAGGTGTATCAGGTGTATCTCCCCAGCAAGAACAAGTTTGCAGACAACTTGTTTCTTTATTTAGAAAGCCCCATAGTCTCTGCCCAAAAGCTCCCTAATCTGACAAACACCTTCAGCAGTTTTCGGATACAAAATCAATGTATAAAACTCAGTGGCATACCTATAAACCAACAACATCCAAGCCAAGAGCAAAATCAGGAGTGTATTCCCATTCATGATTGCCACAAAAACAATAAAATACTTAGGAATAATGGCCAAGAAGGGAGGTGAAATTCTCTAAAAGAATGATAAAACACTCCTCAAACAAATCATGGATGACACACACAAATTGAAAAATATTCCATGCTCATGGATAGGAAGAATCAGTAACATTAAAATGGCCATACTGCTCAAAGCAAGCTATACACTCAATGTTATTCCTGTCAAACTATCAGAATTAGAAAAAAACTATTCAAAAATTCATATGGAATTAAAAAAAGACCCTAAATAGCCAAGGCAATCTTAAGCAAAAATAACAAAGCTGAAGGCACCACATTACCTGACTTCAAACTATACTACAAGGCTACAGTAACCCAAACAGCATGGTGCTGATACAAAAAAAGACACATAGACCAATGGAACAGAATAGAGAGCCCAGAAATAATGCAGCACATCTACCACCATTTGATTTTCAACAAAGTTGACAGTAACAAGCAATAAGGAAAGGACTCCCTATTCAGTAAATGGTGCTGGGGTAACTGGCTAGCCATATGCAGAAGATTCAAACTGGGCCCCTTCCTTACGCCACTTACAAAAATCAACTCAAGGTGGATTAAAAGTTTAAATGTAAAACCCAAAAACTATAAAAACCCTGGAAGATAACCTAGGAAATACCATTCTAGATACAGGACCTGGCAAAGATTTCATGACAAAGATGCCAAAAGCAATTGCAACAAAAACAAAAAATGGAAAAATGGTATCTAATTAAACTAAAGAGCTTCTGCACAGGCAAAAAGAAACTATCAGCAGAGTAAACAACCAACCTACAGAATGGGAGAAAATATTTGCAAACTATGCATCCTACAAAGGTTTAATATCTAGAATCTGTAAGGAACTTAAATTTATGAGCAAAAAACAAACAACCCTATGAAAAAATGGGTGAAGGACACAAATAGACACCTTTTAAAGAAAGATATATATGTGGCCAACAAGCATATGAAAAATGCCCTTTATCACTAATCATTAGAGAAATGCAAATCAAAACCACAATGAGATACCATCTCACATCAGTTAAAATGTCTATTACTAAAAAGTCAAAAAATAATAGGTGCTGGCAGGTTGCAAAGAAAAAGAAAAAATTATACTCTGCTGGTGGAAGTACAAATTAATTCAGCCACTGTGGAAGACAGTGTGGTGATTCCTCTAAGACATAAAAACAGAAATACCATTCAATCCAGCAATCTCAGTACTGGGTATATACCCAAAGAAATATAAATCATTCTACTGTAAAGACACACACATATGTATATTCACTGCAGCACTATTCACAGTAGCAAAAACATGGAATCAACCTAAGTACCCATCAATGGCAGACTGGTTAAAGAAAATTTGGTGCATATACATCATGGAATACTATGCAGCCATAAGAAAGAATGAGATCATGTCCTTTGCAGCAACATAGATTGAGCTGGAGGCCATTACCCTAAGCAAACTAATGCAGGAACAGGAAACCAAATACCACATGTTCTCTCTTGTAAGTGGGAGCTAAATGAGGACTCATTGACACAAAGAGGGAAACAACAGACATTAGGGCCTACTTGAGGGTAGACAGTGGGAGACGGGAGAGGATCTGAAAAAGTACCTATTAGGTATTGTGCTTGTTACCTGGGTGATAAAATAATCTCTACACCAAACTCCCATGATACAAAGTTTACCTATATAAAAACCTACACATGTACCTCTCAGCCTAAAATAAATGTTAAAAGTTTCATCCTCACCAGAGAAAAGAGGAAAAGGTCATTTTGTTCCTTAGGTGGGTTCAATGGCAGGTCTGTACCTTCAATGTACATTTGATGTTGTCACTTTTTCTCTACATCTACAGTTTACCAAATTCATTAATTCACAGTCATGCTGAAATTCTGAACAACCACTGTGAAATAAGATTTATAACTTTAATTTCTTTTTCACGTGCCAACAGCAGAGCCCATGCATCTGATCATCCTTTACTCTAGAACTTAGAGGATTATGCAAAAAACTTTTATGAGAGCACACTTCATAAACAAAGTTGCCTTTCTACTTCAACCAAAATATTGTACAGCTTATGAGGAAACTTACATTAATAAACTGTCAAATGTTTTATAGACACTAATATTTGTTACATCTTTATGAGAACAATTTTTAGCGATTGATAATATTTGTTATTCTTGATAGCTGCAACAACAACAACAAACATTCAGGAGGCATTTGCTATGTGCCAGATATTCCCCTGACTGTTTAAGTGCCACTTTAAAGATGAGGAAATTGAGACACAGTGATGTAACGAGGCAATTTGCCTTTAGGGTCCAAGCTCTTATTGACTGTTCTAAACATGGATGGTGTAGCCCTTATAAACATTACATTAATCAAATACAGCATATCTATACTCTAGTAAAATACTCCACACACTACACCAAAATCTCTGTTTAAAAATTTTTACAACTTTTTGGCCATGGAAACACACAAACAAACAAAAAAACACACTTTGAGAATTAAAGATACGAACTAGTCATTCTTACCTCAAGTCTGTCTGTTCGCATTAATTTCTGTGCAGCAGCTGCAGCAGCTGCAGGTACAGGGACACCCGGATTCCCTGTTACCAACATTGGTGCAGTCGGCAAGATCTCTGCTGGGACCAGGCTTGGAGAAACAGGTCCCAGATAGGGATTAAAGGCTGCTGATGCATTGGTGGCTAAGCTTGGTGCAACTGAAAACATTGGCTGAAAAATAAAATAAAAGCAAAATTTAACATGCAGGTCTCAGCTCAAAGCTGATATTCTTAATTACACATTTGTCCTCCATCCATTTATCCATTTCCTTCCTTCCCTCCTTCCCTTTAATCCTGTGTTCATTTACTATCATTTAGGATAAGGCTGTTTTATTAAATAAGCATTCCTCAAATCAATGTTTTTCTAAAATATAATAGGTAAAATATCCATTAAATTATTCACTGGAATTTTGGAGCTGGGGGTCTATAATAGTTGTAATTTTTTTTAAATAGATAAATTATGCAGAAACTTCTTGTGGTCACCTAATCTCCATCTTTGTCCTGATTTAATTCTAGATACCTGTCTAAGAAATATTTTGTAATTGTGATGTCAGATGTACTTGAAAGATCTGTTTACAACTGTTAATAGGTTGCAAGTGTCCTATTATTTGAAATAAATAAAGTAGAACTCCCAGGGGATAAAAGAGCTTTACAGTCAATGTAAACTGTAAATAAATCTCATGGGTTACGTGAAAGGTGATGATGACACCTTGCCTTTTGAGCACATAAGATAAAGTGTTTGGTATACTTACGTGATGCAGATTTTTATGGGGGAAATTATAATGTTCCACCAGCCTATCATACCTTACTAGGGGGAAACAAGTCTAAAATGTGAAGTCTGAAGTAGAACTGCTACTAAAGAAATGCTACATGATTGCTCAAGGAAATACATGTGGCAGAACTGAATAAATTGCTTCAAGACAGAATTTCTTCCAGAAATGCTTTCATGAATATGTAAGGATTGTTTCTATTTGTTGATATGCAAACTAGCATATCATAAAATATATCTGCTCTTAAATAACATTAATTTATCTGAAATCTAACAATTTGTTTTTCTAGTGTTTAAAGCATAACAGAACACAATAATTTCAAACCTTATTGACAGTACATTTTTAACTTCCTAATAGGGTTTCAATTCTTGAAGTTTAATGCTTTGTGTAATAATGTTTGTTTCCAAAACACGAAGTTTGTAGGCAAAATGGATGCTGTTCTTTAAGGTAATATTTAACAATTTTATTTTCTTTACTCAGCAGTAATGAATGGAATTATAAACATTTTTTAGAATAAAAGAGACATTACAATGTATTAATAGCTAATTCTATCATCTGATAGGAATAAGAAATTAGATGATCCCTGAATATATGTAGTATTTAAGAGAGCTTTGTAGTAAAACTTTTTGCAATATAAGGTATACATTACAAAAGTAATTTTTACAGTACACAAGAAATATGTTAAAAAATAAAATATATATCCTTTATCTACTCTGGCCCTGATTCATTCTATATGTAGAAAAATAAAATGAATTTCAAGTATTCCCTTTTTCTTAGGGCAGTGGTTTTCAACTGAGTTATTCTACCTCTCAGGAGACACCTGGCAAAGTCTGAAGACATTTTTGGTTGTCACAGCTGGAGGGGAACGATTGCATTTAATGGATGGAAGCCAGGGATGCTGTTAAGTGTCCTACAACATACAAGACAGCCCCTCACAACAAGGAATTATTCAGCTCCAAAAGTCAATGCTGTTAATGTTGAGAAGGCCTATCTGAAAGAATGCACTCTTTTGTTGACCTCAAAAATTGCTTGGGAACAAACTCTTTGCATTTAGCTATACATTTTTACTAACAAAAATATGAAAAAACAGAATATGTAATACATACTATGATTCAATGAGGAGAAGGAACAATACTATATAGATTATATCATTTCAATTTAAAATAATTATGCCTCTGAACATGTTGGTCTGAATGCCACGGTTAACTGCTCTGCCAGGTCAACGGCTCTTGCCTGATGAAGTGGCCTCAAGTAATGACTCTAATCCCTAAACCCTCCCAACACAAAGCAGCAACATGCAGACAACAAGAACTATCTATGCATTCCAAATCTTAACAATCAACAAGCTGTCAGAAACTAGGGCCCAGGGCAGTCTCCGTCTACCAGCACTTCCCTGAGCAGCAGCTGACTTAGTGCTGCACCACTGTCCACTCTTTGCCAAGGTGGCAGCAGGACAAGGATTGATTGTATAGTAAATATATGTTGAACTTGGATTTCTATTCAAGGATATTCAAGCTAAACTTGTACTTTGTTACACACTGTCAGACTATATGAAAATCCAGCCAGACCAGCACCCTAGTTTCTATATCAGTCATTTAAGAATTATAAGATATTCAGCATAAAAGACTAGAAGTCTATGTCAGGGGACTAAGAGACTAGTTTAGGAAACAGACAACAGAAGTCATTCATTACCATTCTTCTTTGTATTCTTTTACTCTTGATTATCATGTATTTCCAAATAGTGCATTTTTAATGTATACTTCAGAAAGTTATTGAGAAGTTTACATTACTGTACATAATCTACTATAATTACTTAAAAAGCAAAGGTCAAATTTAAAAACTTTTTTTGGAAGAAAAAGCATTTTCATTTTAATAAAATGAGACCAGAGTCTAATAAAACTCAGCTCTCTTAAATCTCATCAAATAAAATACACTGGAAATCTAAAAATGCATATGATGCAGCTGTTGCACATTACAGACAAAATAATACCTTTATTATATTAAAATACTGCTTTTAATAACTGGCAATAATCTTTCCTGAGTTGTTTCTATAGAGTCATCAAGAGAATTGATCTTTCACTTTAATTCAGCAGAGCAAATTCAAATCTGAACAATTTTAGGGCACTGTCCCCAAGTAAAGTCTGTAGGAGCTTTTAAAAATGTGAAACATCAACTATTCAGCAAGCATTATCTCAAATTGTTCCCTCTTTCGATAAGTACAGCTATTTGCTGAACAGGCAGACAATCAATAACAATAGCTTTATACTTTGAAACTTGATTCCAAACCCCCCCCACACACACACCACATTCCCTCATTTGTTTTAAATTTTTGTAAATTTGTTACATCATTTTAGTTATATTGTATTTTCAAAAGCGCCTTGTTGAAGGTAGGTCACTGCTAGCCCCATGAGAAGGTGCCCTGATCAGATTAGGAAAGTACTTGACCTGTGCCACTGCCAGTTTTCTCTTCCACAAGCTATCCTGCAGGGGTTCAGCAGAATCTCAAAGACGGATATTCAAGCAATGGTATTATCAAGTGGCATCCTGTTTTATCTGAATGATAACATTTAACTAGGTAATTGGTATATTTGATACTGATTATATTCTTGTGATAATGATTTGTAGGTAGCTCTGTTCCTGAAAGGCGTAAGACAGTTTGGTTTATGATCGCCTTTTGCCAATGAACACCCTCACCAGAGAAAAACAAAGTACAAACTTACTAATTCTGGTGCTGTTTATGGGTTAATTACTTGTTTTAAATCAGACATTCTGATTCCATTAAGGTAATCAGAATTCATTATAAGTGAAAGTGTTACTTAATTTCATATTATGACCCTAATTAGCTATGCAAACATGATTATTACCAGTAATTTCATATTTATTGTGTGCTAGCATCTTGCTGAGTGCTTTATCTGTGCTATTGTATTTAATCCTTACAACAGTAGAGTATGAATTCCCTTAGTAATTTTTTTTCTTTAGTTTTTGAGGGAAAGAGATCAGAAGAGATCTGTTTAGTTCCCTAAATCTCCAGAGCCTGGAACAATGCCTGGCAGAAACAGGCACGCAATAAACACTTGCTGAATTAGTACTTGAGTGAATGAATAAATGAATGAATGAATGAGTGAAGTGCAGCCTTCTCAAGTGGGTATTGGCCGCATTTTTGCGGATAAAGAAAAAGGCTCACAAAGATTATGTTTCCATAGTCACAAATGAGTGAATGGAGGCCTAGGATGTGACCATAGGTGTGTCTGATTCCAAGTGGTTCTGAAACAAGTGGTTTTCACACAATGAACCAGGTGTCCGTTAAAATCACCTGGAAGACTTTTAAACTGAGTGCCCTGGCCACTCCTCATTCTTCAGAATCTTTGGGGGAAAGGTACGCAGATGGCAGTATTTTTTGAAAACTCCTAGGTGATTCCAGTTCCACATACTATGTGGTTTTCTATACATATAGGTATACTTTTCTGAATGTAGGTAAGGTATCTAAGGATACATGTACCCTTATGGTTCTTTTCCTTTAAACATGGTTTATTCTCCACACTGACTGCTACCCGCGCCAAGCCGATCTGTTTAATTCCTAATTGTGCTTCAAGAATTAGAACTCTTTAATTAAGTTTATCCTGATACATCCACATTTCTACGAAGGGGTTTTTCTTACCCTCTTGTTCCTACGAACTCCTAATTACCCGAATGCAGCATTTACCACTGCCTGTGTTTACTTGAATATCTCCTCTAGTCTAGTAAGACTGGAGGCTCCTAGGCGGCAGACTTTTGCCTTATGTCTTGATCATGTTATATAAATCCTGCGTTTGGCATCTATACAGATCCTCTATAAACATTTACTTAACATATATACTAATGGATTTGCTAACTGCTTTTCTCTGCCATAGAAACAAACAAACATATTAAATATTCTTTAGGATACTTTAATGTTAAATAAAAGTGATAAATGTTATTTTCTTTCTTTACCTCAAAATTTAATAATTGCTATCTCTAATACACCTGCCCAAATTTTATTTTTTCTGTTTGTTTTGCAGTATTTTATAATAAGCTTTCTAAGTTTCAGTAATGTAGTTACCATGCTGTAATGGTGCAAATATCATAGGGGCTGATATTTATTTTAAAACACCATGTGAACACTGCTTGTTCTGCAATGTTTGAGATTCTTTTTAAAAATGGGGTGAGTATATGTAATAAATATGCAATCAATATCAGCTGAAATTCACAGAGCACACATTTTAAGTCATAATTTTCTAGATTTTATGTATGTATATAAAGCAATAAAATGTAAAGTGTTTTTTTTTAAAAACCACACACAAGATATATGAAAGCATGTTTCTAGGTAGGGATAACCCTGTAATTATTGTCAGTGAACTATTCTGAATATAAACAGTGCCAAAAG